ACCAATGGAATCAGCCGTTAGGAATGCATACTGTCGTCTTTAAACAATTGACTGATGGCCACAATCATTGAGTTAAGAGAAGTACTGTTGCTGCTACTGCTGGCAACTCACTCAAAATGTAATAAACAATGACGTCGTTAGATCTATCACCAGTGAAAGTGGATCTGGCACGCCTAAGTAGCATTGTTCCATTTGACTTTTGTTCTTTCGGAATTGAGTCTGCTTCCTCTTTCAATAACCTGAGTGCGTCTGGTTGTTGGGATTCAGCAGTTTGACTACCTCCTGATGCTGGAGGTGATTCTGTTGCTTGCGATGTTGTTGGTGCTTCGGTTGCTTTTGGTGTTGTTGGTGCTTCGGTTGCTTTTGGTGTTGGTGGTGCTTCGCTGGCTTGCGGTGTTGTTGGTGCTTCGGTTGCTTGTGGTGTTGTTGGTGCTTCGCTGGCTTGCGGTGTTGTTGGTGCTTCGGTTGCTTGCGGTGTTGTCGGTGCTTCGGTTGCTTGTGGTGTTGTTGGTGCTTCGGTTGCTTGCGGTGTTGTCGGTGCTTCGGTTGCTTGTGGTGTTGTTGGTGCTTCGGTTGCTTGCGGTGTTGTTGGTGCTTCGGTTGCTTGTGGTGTTGTTGGCGCTTCGGTTGCTTGCGGTGTTGTTGGTGCTTCGGTTGCTTGTGGTGTTGTTGGTGCTTCGGTCGCTTGCGGTGTTGTTGGCGCTTCAGTTGCTTGTGGTGTTGTTGGTGCTTCGGTTGCTGCCGGTGTCGTTTCTTGCCCAGATGAGCTTGTTCCTGATGCTTCCGAAGTTGCCGATTCAGAGTCGGCTCTCACCTCGATCGGTTCGTTAGATTCGAATTGAGTAGTATCACCTGTTGGGCACAGCGTTTCTGACTTCCCACCACTGGATACCTTCACACAACTGATGCCACTCGTTTTCTGTAAATATAGATATAGGTTTTCAATAAAATATTCAGAGATTCGTGCTTCAATGTCCGATGCATATTATTAAACAATAAATATAGTGCTTTACTTACGTTAACATAAACCTTCACCAATTTACCGGTATCTGATTTGACACGATACTGACAACCGGAGCCAGTGTTTTTCACCACGAAACTCTTTTCTTCAGTTGAGGCATCAAGGTCCACACAATTCGGTGTTTCCCGAGCTGTTTATTAAAAGCATGCTGTTAACCCCGTGTTACTTACCGACGATCAAGATCACAGAGAAACTGAGCAACAGGAATTTTACCATTTCGGAAATCATATTTTTGTTAATATACCTCACTGGTAGGCGCTGGTTTTTATACTCTGCACTCAAACCACATTCTCTCAGGATGTCAACTATTGGTAAATATATATAAACCGTCACGTGATTATGATATTCATCATTTGTGACGCAGCTGTTGAAGCTGTGATCCATTCTACCCACAGCATGTAATTCATTCTGCTGAACTCTGATGATGCATTATGTTGTTGAGGAAGATCCACATCAAGGAAACTGCATTAATTTTCCATAAGCCTGGGGCCTTTCCAAGTTGTAAAACAGGAACCTGCAAAATCCTATAATTAAAAATGCTGTATTTTTCCGAAATTCTGAAGGCTCTACACGACTTAGCCAAAAGATGAACTTGCTTAAAGATTCGCTGATATTAAAATAGGTTTTCGCAATTGCCATTTTCAAAATTCTGGCCGATCCCCCAGTTTTGCAGAAAGTAAACAAGTGCATCAATCACATCGATTGCTTCCGAGCAGCTAAATCTTACTTGGTCTCGAGTTGCTAATCAAACTGCAGAAAACCTATCACTTATTTCTCGCACTCACGATCGAATCCTCCCTTGACACCATGTATGATAGATCCTAAGTTGCTGTCGGTTTTATCTTGCAGATACGTGACTGGTAAGAAAACTGGATACAGACGGACTACGGATGTTCGGGAAAGATTTATGAGATAGATTGCATGCGTATGGGGGACACTCGGACAAAATGAGACGGACCTTCACGTGACCGCAATCACCCATGGGAGGTAATGCTTTATCTTCATGAATAACTTTGATCGGGGTAGATATCATACATGTCAGAAAATAGATTTCCATGATGCACGATGTTTGCCGAAGTAGATGATGAATGGAAAATTTAAGGGTATTCAAACCAAGACCTGGCTTGAGGGCATGAAAACTCTGACCAGGAGAAAGGCTCACATAGATTGCAATATACTTTTCGGTCAGTCCCTTGGGATTAGTACTGCCGATGGTTGAAGACACTGAGCTTTATGACTTTGTATCATTATTCGTGACTCCAACACACTTACTAGCTATTATTTCAAACATTGTTTTAGATAATTATCTATTTTCGGCTTCACACTGGTTTCTGAATTCTAATTTTTTAATCTCCAAATGATAAGTCAGGAAACATAATAGAAAATAGCTGCAAGGCAGTGCACGGGTAATGGTTGTTTGAACTGAAACAATAACTGAAATTAGCGATTTTCTAATAAACTTTGAAATGCGTATCTTTCTAAACCCCATCTTATGATGAAAGCCGTGTCAGACATTTATGACTATGTATCTAAAAATGTTTTTGTCAATGACTAAACTTGTTTGTTAAACCCATTTCAGTGTTGTCAAAATTCGTGGCGGCGGTGCCAAAACCAAAAGATGTACGAATTATTCAGATTCTTTCAGTTAGTTTTAAAAACCGTTGGACCTGCAAACCGCTTCAGTGTTGAGCATTTATATATATATATATATATATATATATATATATAACATGCGAACAGTTGACCTTGACGTG